TTCTTTCATGTCTTCAAAAAAAATTAGCCTAACAAATGACCAGCGCAAAAAAATTTGTTTAAAAAAACAAAATGATCTAACCATCACACAAGGAGAGCTTGCAAAATGGGCCAAAGAAAAATTTGGTCTTGAAAATGCCTCCAACCAAGCAACTCTTTCACGAATTCTTGCAAAAAAGGAAGAGTATCTTAAGATTGATGATGAAAAGGACTTTAGAATTAAATGCCACCGTATAGTACTCCAACCACAATTAGATGAAGCATTAGCAAACTGGGTTTTGCAATATCAAGCAAGAAGAATTCATTTAACTGGGGAGTTAATATGTGAGAAAGGACAAAAATTTGCTGAACAACTAGGTCTTGACCCCCAAGATCGTAATACACCTGATTTTTCTGTTGGTTGGCTACTTTCATTTGAGCAATATTATGGTTTTAAAATGCATAGAATTCATGGAGAAAGCAGATCTGCTGATAATAAAGCAATCGAAAGAAGTTTGCCTGAACTACATGAAACTATTAAACAATATGCTGCGAGAGATATTTACAATATGGATGAAACTAGTTTGTTCTACAGGATGGTGCCAGACAAAACAATCGGCAGAAGACAAATTAAAGGGAGCAAAAAAGACAAAACTCATCTCATCCTTGCCCTTACCACTAATTCAGATGGTTCGTATATGTTAAAACCCTTTATAATTGATCATTCAAACAAACCAAGATCATTTAAAGACAAAACTGGAGAGCAGCTTGGTTTTTATTATCGCTATAATAAGAAAGCCTGGATGACTTGTCTTCTTTTTAGAGAATAGATTGTAAACTTTAATAGTATGATGCAAGATACAAATCGACACATTCTCCTCCTTATTGATGGTGCCACTTCGCATGCAGTTGGTGATGTAGATCTTACTAATATAAAGGTTGTCACTTTACCTCCAAGAACCACCTCCAAGCTTCAACTAATAGATGCAGGCATTATTGCCGCCTTCAAATACCGATATTATCATTTTCTATTACAACATGCTATTGACCATGATGAGGCTAAGGAATCTGATATCTATAAAGTTGACCAACTAACAGCAATACAATAGTGTATTCGAGCTTGGTATTCAATTCCTCCAAAAACTATCACAAACTGTTTTCGCCATACTGGCTTGTTTGATTATAAAATAACTGCCTCTACCCATGAAGTTTATCCAAATGATGAAGATTCATCTGTTCTCGCAGAGTTGGAGGAATCACTCAAAACGTTGTCCCCTCGCTACCCTATGAGCCTTGCTTATTATACAAATCCACCAGAAGAGATAGATTTGGTACATCAAGAATTTACAGATGCTGACTTATTAGCATCAATGACCCAGAAAATAACAATGATGCTGATGATATAAATGATAGTAGTTCTTCTTTTACTACACCTTCAAACTCTGTTAAACTCGACGCTATACGTACTGTGATTAGTCTTCTTAACACAACTATTTCTGACCACAATGCCGTACTTAGAACATTGCGTTCATTGCAACGAGACATTCAGCTTCAAGTTTCCTCCTCAAAGGTTCAAGCGACATTAGATAGCTTTATGCAAGTAGGATACCAGGTAAGAGTTTTACTTAATTAATTGCTTTTACAGGTTTGTCTTTTATTGTTTATTTTTTTTTCATTTTTATATTAGTAGATATAGGCCGAAATAAACATGACATAGTTGAAAACAAATATGTTCTTATTTTTTTTTTTAATCATTCATTCAATGCGCACAAATAATAGTATTATTTTTATTTTTTTTTTTTAATCATTTATATAATATGCACAAATAGGATCTTTACATCAGAACCTTTATGCTATTGCACGAATAAATGAGGAAAAAAAATTAGAATTATTATCTTATATTGCATTTGACCTTCAATTAATTCATTCAAATGATATTATTCATTGTGATATTACTCTTTTATTTATAAAAACTTTTGCTATTACTTGGCCTCCATGTACCGAAGAAGTTATAAACAAAAATATATTAAATGTTGCGGCTATTCTATGTACTGAAGAAGTTATAAACAAAAATATAGTGGGGTACCATATTATTATGAACACTTTTTAAAAATTTATATTGAGTTAAATAAGCAAGATATCAAGTCCAAAAT